TCCAAAGCAAAATCCAGTAAGCAAGACTACCTATCAGCTTGATTTCCTACCCAAAAAAATGTATTCAAGCATTACCCACTTTCCATTGTGAAGAATCTAGAAGGATTAGAGCCGATAAAACCCCCATCTGGACCATTGATTGTTTTGATGACCTCGATCAATTTGAAATTTTGATGATAGAGGACACTCCATCGCCATTTTGCTAGAAGGGCTCAGTTAGCTCCAAAAAGGCTACCAAGAAATCTCTTCTTAGGGTTTTTAGGGATTAATGACCATCTTTGGAGTTTTAAACGAGGAGACATAATACGTACGTGTAAATGAATATGAACATATTGTGGAGCTAGAGTATTTTTTGAAGTTAGCTGCTAAATAAACAACCTATATACACCCTATTTGAAAGTCAAACTATTTTTTCTTAAAAAACACCATATTGATACATAAAAAGCTCAAACATAAAAAGTTGTGTCTCGCGTCTTGTAAATTGTATTTACGTCTTGTAAATTGTATTTATAATAAAGAGATTACATTAATATCAATTTACCTAATAACAACTTATGTTTTATTATAAAAAAGATAGGTTAACATTAATCTAACCATCTAATACAATTTAGGTAAAATTTTTAATTTTTTTTATTATTTCAGGATTTAAAATATTATTTTGGTTGTTAAAGTCCAACCACCGTCATCATCCGGAAAAATGTAAAACATCGAAAGAGAGAGAGAGATGGAGAAACAGAGACAGATCGATGGAGAAACAACACCGCTGCCGTGAACGAGTTATTGTAATCATGACCGACGGCGAGCATCACTGCCGCCGGAGGCATCGTCTCGATCTCCGGTGTCGGAAAAGAGAAAACGTGGAAAGAGACAGATCAATGGAGAAACAGATAGGGAGAGGTTCATGGTGGTGACGATGCTCTGGTTGCATGGACTCTTCGTCGGAAGTCTGATGTCGGCGATTCTCCGGTGGCATCGAGTCGTCGGCGGCTGCTATGCTCCGTCAGATAGAGGACAGCGGGGACCGTTGTTGCTCTTTCACATCACTTAAAATATGTGGTTTTAGGGTTTTGTATTTTAATTGTAAAATGGGCTAAATGGGCTGAGCATCGGATAATTGGCCTAAAACATTCTAAGTGGGCTAACCTTTAAGTGGTTTGACCACTTAAAATATGATAAATCATTTTTTAAAATAAATCAGTTTTTTTTCTTTTTATTTTTTAAATATCAGCTTTTTTTAAAAAAAAATATCCGTTTTTTAAACTAAATGGATTGTTGCTTTTTGTTTTTTTAAAATAAATTAGCTATTTAGACAAGTAGACATTAGACATTGCCGTTGATTTTGATTTTTAAAAGACATATATGTTTATTTTTAATTAGTTATTTTATATTATTTTAGTTTTTTAACAATTTTTTTTATTATGTTCATAGCTTTATTGAAAATATGACGAATTTTTACGCAGAAAACTCAAATGAAGGCAACGAGTTCTTTATGGGGATATCACCATTTTTTACCGAACGGGTATAATACTTATCATGATATTAATTTTTTAAATCATTGTAAAGTTCACTAGTTATTAACATATATTATTTGAATTTTAGGTGTTCGATTCTCTAAATGAGTTGATGGGATGGGTACAAAACAAAGCATTGTCTCTTGGTTATGTTATCGTTAGAAGAAGATCAAAGAAAAATGAAAATGGTGTGGTGTCTTATATCACACTTATTTGTGATCGTGGTGGTGAATACAAAATTAAAGCAACAAGTAAAAATTCTGGCACCAAAAAAATCAATTGTCCATTTAAATTGGTTGGTTCGTATATAAAACAATTTGATGGTTGGACATTAAGGGTGAAATGTGATCAACATAACCATCCACCTGCACAACATATGGAAGGACAAGCTTATGCTAGGCGGTTGAAAGAAAACGAAAAAAAGTTGGTGGCTGACTTAACAAGTCAGAATGTTGAACCACGCAACATACTCTCGATACTAAAAGAGCATGATGAGAATAATGTTTCTATACTCAAAACCATATACAATGCACAATACAAGCTTCGCTCGTCCCAAAATGATGGAAAAACTCCGATGCATGTATAATATTTCAACAAGTATATTTTACATATAATTTATATACTGAATTTTTATTAATTAACAATATTTCAATCTAGGTTCTTATGGGAATTTTGAATGATAAAAAATTTGTTATCGAGTTTTCCGTAAATAATATTTCAAATGAATTGGAAAACCTGTTTTTCATTCATCCACTGTCGTTAGATATATGGCAAGCATTTCCACACGTTTTGATTATTGATGCAACATACAAAACAAACAAATATGCTATGCCTTTTGTTGAGATTGTTGGAGTAACTTCAACCAACAAGACATTTAGCATTGCTTTTGCCTTTATCATTAACGAAAATGAGGAAAGTTATAAGTGGGTGTTAACGTGTCTAAGGTTGACACTAGAAAAGTGCATGCAACCACGTGTTATAGCGACGGATAGAGAGTTGGCATTGGTGAATGCATGCAAACAAGTTTTTCCTTATGCAACTCGCTTACTTTGTCGATGGCACATTATCGAAAATATTAGAAAGCATTGTAAGACGCTAATCCCATCGAAAGCTGTGTGGAAATCCTTTCGTGCTATATGGAGTATACTTGTTGACTCTCCAACATGGACATCGTACACTGAAAACTACAGAAAACTACAGTTAATGTTAAGAGAACATGAAGGTACAATTCTACTTATTTTTTAACTACTTGTTTATAAATTTAAAAGGTACAATTCTACTTATTTTTTAATTACTTGTTTATAAATTTAGAAGGTACAATTCTACTTATTTTTTAACTACTTGTTTATAAATTTAGAAGGTTTTTTATACATAAATAACATTTATTTGATTCCAGATGTTTTACAGTATTTGGATGATGTTTGGTTAAACAAGTATAAGGAAATGTTTGTCTCTGTTTGGATTGATCAACATTTGAACTTTGGACAACGAACCAGGTGAGTGTATTCCATTGGAATCAATAGATGTATTCTGGAGAAAACTTAAAATTTCACCGTCAATTCCTATGGAAAATGAGGATATATGTGGTGATGGTAAATTTGAAGTGTTTAAAGAAACCTACAATAAACAACCGGAAGCTGTGAAAAAAAGCATGATGAGAAAGCTACTAGATATATTCCAGCCTAGCAAAACACACATTAGAGAACCCGCAATTCAAAAAAGTACGCGTGGACGACCAAGTTTGAAGAAACAAAAACAAAGACAAACTGATTCTATCAATCAAGCTCCTAGAAGAGGCAGCTTTTCAACCATGCCAAAATTTGTTGAGTTGAACAATAAGGAACCAGCAAGACTTAGTTCATACATAACCACAATTCCAGACTTGAATGAAATTCCAGACTTGAAAGAAGAGCCAGACTTGAATGAAATTCCAGACTTGAAGGAAGAGCCTGAATCATGCTACAATCATCGACTAATAGATGAAATTCAAGTGATGTTTCATCCTTACATCACACGTATACAAGATGTAGAGGGGGATGGAAACTGTAGATTTCGAGCAATATCTGTTTGTCTTGGGTATGGCGAGAATGATTGGCTCTATGTTCGACATCAACTACTAGACGAGTTATTGACTTCGTACGATGCATATGCTAGAGTTTTCACTGATGGAATCGGTGAACTATATACTTCGTTGAATTTCTTACAATCGCCGGCACCTAAAAGATACTAGTTACTTATGCCTGAAACAGGTATCCTCATTGCCAACAGATTTGGTGTAGTCCTTACTTTTTTAACCAACAGATTTGGCTCTCTCACTTTCTTTCCTCTTTGGAAAGGCCCAGAAGAATTTTTATGCCATCGCGTTATTACGATTTCACTTGTATATGGTAATCATTATGTAATGGTACAATTAGAACGAGATAGCCCGCTGCCTACCATTTCAGCTTTTTGGATCCGCCATAGAGCCCCATGTGCAGCTGGATGGGAAACTATGTTCATGTCACGTCTAGAACTTTATAGACAACTGAAACCTTACAATCCCGAAACACCTTTTATAACTATAGAGGATTGTTAGAGGGTATTAATTTTCTCTCGAATTATGCATTTATGTATTCATGAAGGATTGCTAATGCTATTGTTTTTTGCATCATATTATTGTTTTTATGTATTCATTTATATTTAATTATTAAATAATATACAAACATATATACGTTATTAATCTATATTAATTAAAAATAAATAATTAATCATTTATAATTAAAAATAAATAATTAATCATATATATATATATATATATATATATATATGTTTTAATTACTCCAAAAAAAATATTAATATTCAAGCATACAATGAAAAAGAAAATAAATAAAAAGTAAAGAAATTAAAGAAAAACAAAAAGTTGGGTATACAAACTTCAATGTAAAAAAACATTGTTGACTTTTTTTTTATTAGGGTGTTTTTTTAGTATAGGTTGTGTTTCTAGTAAATGGGGGTGTTTATTTAGCTATTCCCTTTTTGAAATACAAACATCACTGAAATCAAATTATCTAGGTGATTTTTTTTCCTTTTTAATTTTTTATACAGATCAATTCAAGTACAAATAATAAAAGCATTGGCAAGACATGTTAAACGAAATATTTGTTGTTACTTTTCAATTAAGATCAAAAAGTAATCAATGTATTAAGATAAAATGAAGAAGTCCAATACTTTTCGTGTTATATAGAAAGAAAATTCTTATTGGAAAAAGAGATGTTTGGTAATTTTAACTTGATATGTAAGAAAAGGATGTTGTAAATATCATTTTAAAAACTATACTTGGAATCAAAGCGATCTAAAAAACTTAAGTTCATTTCTCTAGTTGTGGAAATGGTATTTTGCATCTATCTCGTTTTCTATAAATTTTAGGGTTTAATATATGTCATTTTTCATGAGAGAGAGAGAGAGGATATGGAAGACATTAACCATTTTAGTCATAAAGACCATCCATTAATGGTTGTCAACATTGAGACGATTGTTGGTGCTAGTTTCGAAAATGGTGATGAGAAACCAGAAGCCATAAGTTGCTATGCATGTCAAAAACACATATCAAGTGGTTTTGTCTACGGTTGCACCCAATGTCGTTACTTTATGCATAAAGCATGTGCACAACTTCCGCCTACTATTGACCACCATTCCTTATATAAGCAACCTCTTACACTAGTCGATTGTAAAGCCATGCATTTCAGAACTTGGCATTGTGACGTGTGTCGTCAAAACAAAGTTTTAGGGCTTTTCTATTCCTTTATGAAACATGACAACATTTATTCGTTTACAGCTTGCATTGATTGTTGTGTTGTTGAGCTTGTTCATAAGGCAGAAATCGATGCTATCAAGGAGGAGGCAAGGATCAAGATTGAACATGAAGGACACCCACAACACACTTTGACCCTCCAGTTAAGACCTGGTGCATTCCGTTGTGATGCTTGCAATGCTAAGAATGAAGGATTATTCTATCAGTGTGATAGTTGTGACTTTTGGATCCACAAGACGTGTGCTTCCTTAGCCCCTACCATCCATTTCCCCAACCACCTTGATCACCCACTCACTCTTGTCTATTCTCTTCCAGAAAAGTTCTTTAATTTCTCATATTATTGTGAAAGTTGCAACATATATATCCGATGGAATGAGTGGTTGTACCATTGTGCAAACTGTAGATATTTTGTGCATATCAAGTGTGCCTTAGACACAAAGCAACTTTCAACTTCAAGGTAAAACTTTTACTTTTTTTTTCTTTTTGTGTTTGTGAATGTTGTTTTAAATAAAAATATGTGGTTATAGAGATAATCCAAGTACATCTACCACGGAGGAAGACATAAATGATTCGTTGCATTTTCCCATGTCACAAGTTTTTACGGATCCACTGAAATTACTACATTTTGAAAAGACAAGTCAAGATGATGATGGAGAAACTAATATTAACCATTGGAGTCATGGTCATCCTTTAATCCTTAATGTTGAACCTTACCCTAACATGTCTGATATCAACTGTAGTGATCCGATAGAGGTATGTCATGGGTGTGTACGACCCCTCTCCTTTCCATACTATAGTTGCAAAGATGGATGTTCATTCACTCTCCACAAATATTGCGTTGAGTTACCACTCAAATTACAACATCCACTTCACCAGGATCATTCGCTTGACTTGATAAACACATGGGGACAACAAATTTACTGTAGATGCAATAGCTGTGGTAGCTTTGGCAACACGTTTTTATACAGATGTGAAACTTGCAAGTTCAACCTCGATGTCAATTGTGCCTTTCTACCTAGAACCATCAAACACAAATCCCACAAGCATCCTCTTATCCAAGTTATGGATCCTGACCCTCTTTGTAATGCTTGCAACATGTGGTATGATCATATAAGCTATGCTTGTAAGCCTTGCAACTTCATATTGGACATGTATTGTGTAATGAGATCACCAGATTCCCTTGGTCATAGGTATTGCAAAGGACATGAAATTCCATTGACATATCCCCCAGTCATGGATCATCCTGAAGATTTCTATTGTGATATTTGTGAGGAAGAAATGCACCCCAAGTTACCCCTCTATTATTGTGGAAAATGCAAAAATTCTTTTCACCTTTATTGCATTAATCGATTTAAGTGTTTTGCAAACGTTTTCCACGAAGGCACCTTCAATGTTCCCTATCATAAACATCCATTAACATATGTCCGAAGAAAGAAAACGCCCAAGTATGTGTGTTGTAATTGTAATCAAGATATTAATGGTTGTTTGATCCTAGAATGTCAGAGTAGAGTCTGTAGTTTCAATATATGCTTTGAATGTGATTATAATAAGGAAATGGATCCTTAATCATGTCATATGATTAGGAACTAAGAAAGGGCCATATATGTCATTGTTTCAATAAATTATGAATATATATGTTGGTTTTCTCTTCTTATTGTCTTATATTCAACAACTTAGTGCTCATAGCAAACTTACACATATTTTCAAAATTGTATACACCTTCTCCAAGTGTATCTTAAAGAACCATCAAATCACATAACAATTTGCAATAGTAGATCTGATCTGGATTCACTATGTGTAATAACTTTTTCAGTTAGATCCATTACATTCTTGTATTCTAATTGGATACATGCACCTGACTGACTGAAGAAAAAGAAAGAACAATAAGCCACAGGCATTATATCAAGCACCTAGTAAGTAGAATATGAAATTAAGCACGCATCAACTCTACCACCAGCTGTCGAATTTTGGATCCATAAATAAGTCCCAAAAATATTTCTCTATGTACAGGTTCCATGTGTGGTAAGAAGTAGTTGCCAACACTAAAAATAAATTGTGGTAGAAAGTCATATGATTGTGTTGTATGTGGATATAAACTTAACTAAATAAAATCAAAGAGGAATAAGCATTTCATTAAGTACATGCTAGGCAAAAGGTGAAAGTACACATTCACTGATTGAAAAGAGAGCGACCTCAGTTTTTTATGCAAGAAAATGATTAGGCCAACACAAAAATCAACATAAATAATATACAAATGGCCATACGTGGAGTTCTTTATTCTAGCTCAAATTATCATTTTACAAATCTAATGGATTTTTCTTAACAAATTTCCAATTTGCTACCCACAAAAACGATTATTTACAGCTTAACCGTTGCTCCATTTCAGAAAATTACCATCTACCAAAACCTGCAATCAAGCGTTCACTTGTTTAATTAAGAACATTCTTTCTAAATATATTTCTGAAATCTATTTAGAAAGTTTTAAGAGAAAGTGAACTCCAAAATATCATCTCTAAACAATCAAAACACGTGTAGACTAACTGGGGTACGCTTTAAATTTGATTACCCCCTTGTTGCTGCACCAATTTCAATTTTTTTTGTCACTTGGGGTTGCTCAGTTTCTTACTTTTGCTTAACATTTGGGGCTACTCTGTTTTTCAAAGAGAAAGACCTAAAGAAAATTGGAGTTACGCTTTATCTCATACTTGAATTCCTCCTTTTATTCCGACAACCTTATCCACTAAGTTAACGGTTTCGATTCAAATCTCAATATGTTTCAGAAACATATCGATAAATGATAAATCATACCCTTAGTTCATTACTTAAATATGTCATAAAACTGAAACATCCATGACATATGTTAATGAAACCATAGCAACTTTTAAATGGTCAAGTATGTGTATAATAGCAGCCAAATATTATTGTTATCGTTGTTCTAATAATCATTTAAGTTGAAGTAAATAGTTGTTGTTTAACGGGAAGAAAGGAAATTTAATTTGAGTATTTCACTTAAAAACATACACTTTTATTAAAGTGTGTGCCTATTAAAATATTGCATATTTATTTGGGCTAAATGTAAGAAATAGCAATATAGTTTTATTTTTCTGTTTATAACATCCAACTTCCGTTTCTTCCTATTATGACATTTTACTTTCATTCTTATTTGGACTTTTGTATTTTGGAAATGCAACCCAATTATAGAACCATACTTGAAATTCTTTCCATATCAAGAAACCATTCTTCAAATAATCTACCGGGTTATAGCCTTAAAGTTTTGTATTGGGATGAATTTTCTTGCACTTAAACTTCTTTTGTTTCGCTAAAACCCGATAGATAATTTGAAGAATGCTACCTTAAGCTTCTTTTGTTTCGCTAAAAGCTTGTTTCTTGCTTATGCAGCCACTAAGAAAGCGACCTCTACATGATCCATCAAGTATCTGTTGACAAACAATAGAAAGATGTGTTAAAAGATTTCTTATTTTTAATTTTAAATTAAGCATAAATGTAACAATCAAGGAATTAAGATAAGAGAAAATAAACAATATGGATATTCTTTTCAACAAAGAAATATATGAAACCTAGAAATTCCATCATTAAAATCAGATCAAATCCCTTAGAGTATTGGCTATGGGCAACATGTTATAACACCATTTTGGTGCCACCTCACATGCCACATCACCCATAGTATTATAACACCAATTTAGGAAATCGTTGAAATTTGAATACATGCACTATCCGACCATTGATACGTTGTCAAAACTTATAAAATACCATAACCTTCTCATTCATGTAATTAAGGCATAGGAGTTTATGTAATGGAAATTGAATACCATGACTTGCTAGGTTTCAATTACATAACATGAGGAATCATATTCAATCTCCAATCAATGGTATTTGAATTTGTCATACACAAGAAGGTTAGTGATACCACATACATTTGCTAGGTTTTTGTCATCTTTTTGTTGAAGTTGTAAACATAAATTAATAATAAAATCAGTGAAAATCATTGAAAGCTATGACTGAAGCTTTTTTCATACATAAAACTCCAGATTAAATGAGTGATATAAAGTCATAGTCTATCTAAATATGTTTCTAAAAAATATTTAGAACGTTTTAAAAAGAAGCAGGCTCCAAAATCACATTTCTAAACCATCAATATACCTGTAGAATAATTGGGGTAGGATTCAAATTTGATTACCCTTTAGTGCTGCTCCAATTTTGGATTTTTGTTGTCACTTAGGGTTGCTCTGTTTCTCGATTGTGCTTAACATTTGGGGCTACTCTGTTTTTTCAAACAGAAAGACCTGAAGAAGAATTAGAGTTATGTCTTATCTCATACTTGGATTCCTTATTTATTCGAGCTACCTCGTCTTCTAAATTAGGGGATTCGACTCAAACTCAATATCTCACAGAATTACGTCATTACTCAAATTTTCTAACTACCTTAAAGCTCTTTTCTTGAGTTTATTACACAAAATTAGGTCATTACTCAAATATCCTCATAAACAGAAACATCCATGACCTATGTTCGTTTGTCATGAGAATAGAACCAAATATTGCATTCTTATCTTTATTCTAATAATTATGTAAGTAGAAGTAAGTATTTTTAGTTTAACCAAAAGAAAGAAAATTTAACTATTTCACTCAACAATATTCGCTTCTATTATTTCAGTTTCATTTATTTTGTCTTATTGCATCATACTTCCGTTTCTTGCTATTACTACATTATACTTTTAGATTGTATTGGCAATGGTTTTCAGTGGTGTCCAATTGCATTAACGGAGCTACTTGAGGGCCAGAGTAAGCCCAGACCTACCCTGGATTTTAATTTTTTTTTTAAACTAGGCCCAAATCGATTGAATCAGTAGGATCCCAAAATTCTCTTGCTCCGGAAGAAGCGTGCATACTTGAGTCACTGTCCATCGTCGTTTTCAAAATCAATATTCCCCTTAATCGAAATCGCTAGTGGCCAATGGGAGTTGGAGATCAGAGCATTTGAGTAAGAACCAAGTTATTGTATGATACAAGAAACAGGCTAATGAATTATATTATGAGCAAATTTACGTTGATTTTTGTTTTATTCTAAGCTATATGTGGAACAATGTATGTTGATTGTGTTTATTTAGGTTGTATTGGGAGTAGATAAGGTATGTCCCCCATCCCCAAGTCTTTTGTTTTAGAATCCTACTATTATTGTGTAATTTGTTTGTCTGTTGCCATGTTGGAATCAAACAAAAGCTTAAAGAAGTACAAGAAGTTTTCTCTTTCTCTACAGGAAGTTTTCTCTTTCTCTGTAAAAATATACAAATTATATAAAGAAAGAAAGGAAGTGGACTTTTATATTACAAGACAATATATCCTTTTTATTGATATGTCAAAAATCAAGGCACAAATACATATATATATATATATATATATATATATATATATATATATATATATATATATATATACACACACACAATTTTGGTAACTATCATCGTCCCAAATGACACAAATGTTGAACCACTTATAAATATAAATTATTTAATCTCACCCTTTTGTTTATTTTGATGTTGCATGCCATTTTCCCTTTGAATATTAAATTAAATCCCACCCACTTGTAGGGAAAGATATAGTAGCCCCACCTTTTTTCCTTTGTTTTATTGCAGTAATTGAAAGGAGAAAGTGACAAATCATTTTTCCTTTTGAATATTCATATTTCTTATATCTTTCTTCTTTCTTCTCATTCTCTTTAACCGTACAAATCTGTATTTTTTATATAGCATGTTACACTTTGTTTAGTTATTGTGTTTATAGAGTTGTTGCAATTTCTAGCTGATCATAATCAAAGCATTGAAGCTGTTACTTTCAATAATGCTCCTTTGAATCTGAAGTTGACTTCACCAGATATCCAAAAGGACATTGTTCATGCAGCTGCAATTGAAAAACCGAAGATCATTATAAATGATATTGGTGAAGTTTTTTCTCTCTCCTTGTCGATGAATCTCGTGATAATTCGATTAAAGAGCAAATGAGTGTTGTGCTGCGGTATGTAGATATGGAAGGTCGTGTAATTGAACGCTTTCTAGGTATTGAGCATGTCCCAAATACTACAACCATTACACTTAAAGAAACACTTCATAATTTGTTTTCAAGACATGGATTGAGCATCTCCAATTTGCGCGGACAAGGTTATGATGGGGCTAGTAATATGAAAGGTGAACTTGGTGGTCTTAAAACTTTGATTTTGAATGAAAATGCAAGTGCATATTATGTTCATTGTTTTGCTCATCAACTTCAACTTACTTTGTAGTTGTGGCAAAAAATAATTCGAAAATATTTTCTTTGTTTGTGTTATTGTCACACCCCAAAACCGGAACAACAGAAACGTTCGGGGGTGGAGGACATCATGTTAAGTATCACGAGATATGTATATGGTAAGCAAGTAATAAACAACCATTTCATTTAGAAAGAAAGTGTTTATAATGTGTGTTCACAAAACATAGAATTCATACACAAATAACAAAACAAGACTTGAAGCTATAATGCTCCATCTTCTGAATCCCCACCACGAGCACATGTCT